AATACTTCCTGAAGCCACACATCCCTCCCTCTTCACTGTCACCATCCTAATTCAGGTCACCATAATCTTTTGCATGGACTATTACACTAGCCTAGTATGCCTCCTACATCCATTCTTGCCCCTGCCCAATTCATTCTCCACACAGCAGCCAATGTGATAGGCTTATTTCACTCCAAGGCTTAAACTTCATAAATTTCCCGCTACCTTTAGGTTAAAGTCCCAGGCTCCTTAACAAAGCCTAAACATCTGGCCCCTTCCCACATCTCTTGCTACCTCATCTCTTTATGGGCCTGCAACATGGAGCTTCTCTCAGTGTTTTCAACTTATCATGCCCTTCCCATGTTAGGCTGAAGCCCTCCTGACCCCACCACTTCATCAAATCAGCTCTTACTTATCTTTTAAATCAGCTGAAAGCTTAATTCTGCAGGGAAGCATTACCTGTCTCCACGCTTCAGGTTAGGTCTCCCTGTCATATACTGCACCTATATATCCCTATCCCATTACATGGTGCACTTATAATTTTGTAAGTATTTACAATAATTTAATATTTATATTCTGGCTGATCGAGGCAGGGAACATGTCTATTTCTTTTTTTTTTTTCTTTTTTTTTTTTTTTTTAGACAGAGTCTTGCTCTGTCACCCAGGCTGGAGTGCAGTGGTGCAATCTCAGCTTACTGCAGCCTCCACCTCCTGGGTTCCAGCAATTCTCCTGCCTCAGCCTCCCGAGCAGCTGGGATTACAGGTGCACACAACCACACCTGGCTAATTTTTGTATTTTTAGTAGAGACAGGGTTTCACCATGTTGACCAGGCTTGGTCTCCAACTCCTGACCTCAGGTGATCCACCCACCTCAACCTCCCAAAGTGCTGCGATTACAGCCATCAGCCACCGCAACCAGCCAGAACGTGTCTATTTTGTACACCATTTTATCCCTGGTAGGTGCTCAAAAACTGTCTGTTGACTAACTGATTATTCAATCAGTTACAGTATGCTTCAAAAGAAATACATAAGGGGGCCAGGCACAGTGGCTCACGCCTGTAAGCCCAGCACTTTGGGAGGCCAAGACAGGTGGATCATCTTAAGTCAGGAGTTCAAGACCAGCCTGACCAACATGGTGAAACCCTGTCTCTACTAAAACATACAAAATTAGCCAGGCATGGTGGTGCATGCCTGTAATACCAGCTACTCAGGAGACTGAGGCAGGAGAATTGCTTGAACCTGAGAGGCGAAGGTTATGGTGAGCCAAGGCAATACCATTGTACTCCAGCCTGGACAAGAGCAAAACTCCACCTCAAAACAACAACAACAACAAAAAGAAATACACAAGGTATAGAAAGCTAGACTATCTTAATTAGCCATAAAAGGAAAATTGCATAAAAATCTGAACTCACCAAAACAAACTGCACCAAACTTGCTGTTCCCAAAACCTCCCACAGTATAGTTATTTTCTGAACTATACCTACATTTTTAGGTTAGTCTAAAATGTCAGAATTCTGATGATCTTCAAATATCAGCCATAATGGATATGAACTCAATTATGACAAAATCATGCAGAGCAAAAAAAACCACAGAGTATTTCCAGAGCATGTCTCCCGTAAATATTTTTTCGCCAAGATGACTAGAAGTTATTACATAGTATTTATTACTCAGCTTTCCAAACCACTTACTGAAAAAGCTTACAAATGTTTTGGAAATGTTTTTGCTGAATGCACCCCTGCTATTCAGACAATATGCATGACCAAGGAGATTTAAGTAATTAACATGCACTCTATGAAATCATTATATTCAGAAGAGTTGTGTACTTTCTAATCACAAGTCACTGTGAGGGATAAAATAATATTGCTATATTCATACAGCATTTACTGTGGATCAGCCACAGTTCTAAGTTTTCTAGGAATTAACTAACTGAATGTTAACAGTTCTGGGAAGTTATTCCCATTTTATAGAGAAGAAACTGAGGCACAAAGACCTAAAGACCTTGTCCAAAATCACAGTGCTTACAAGTGGCAGAGCCAAGATTCAAATCCAGATGCTCTGACTTCAGTCATATACTATACTCTTCTCTAAATAACAAGAAAAGTTATATTAGAATAACAATAAAAAGGATGCAGCCATAAAAAAGGAGGAGTTCGTGTCCTTTGAACGGACATGGATGAAGCTGGAAACCATCATTTTCAGCAAACTAACCCAAGAACAGAAAACCAAACACTGCCTGTTTTCACTCCTAAGTAGGAGTTGAACAGTGAGAACACATGGACACAGGGAGGGGAACATCACACACTGGGGCCTGTCAGGGGTTGGGGGGCTAAAGGAGGGATAGCATTAGGAGAAATACCTAATGTAGATAATGTGTTGATGGGTGCAGCAAACCACCATGGCAGGTGTATACCTAGGTAAGAAACCTGCACGTTCTGCACATGTACCCCAGAACTTAAAGTATAATAATAATGGTAATGAATCAGAACAGAATCTACACAAAAATACTGAAATAAAAGAGGAAGAAAGGAATTAGTACAGGCAAGGGGAAGGGTGAAGCATGGCAGATGAAGACCATACAACAGTAAAAACTCCCTCACAGAACTGACAAAGACCATTAACAAAGATCCTCCCAGTCCCACTCACCCCCAAATGGCTCTGTAAAACAAGAGCTAGGGACAGAGACTAGAGGGAAATCTCAGAGGAAAACAGCAAAATTTTTTAAATAAAATAAAATTGTAATAGCACTCAGAAAACAAATGAATAACACCATCACAAAATCGAAAGTCTTCAATAGAAGAGAAGAAAGTGGACATTGCTGAAAATACAGTAAGAGCCATGAAGGCCAGGAATGGTTTTAAAAAATGAGCAAGACAATGAAAAAAGAATAAAATGTTTAAATGATTTCCAAAACAGCCCAGTGGCTCATTCCTGTAATCACAACACTTCAGGAGGCCAGTGTAGGAGAATTGCTTGAGACCAAGAGTTTAAGACCAGCCTGGGCAACATGGTCAAATCTGTCTCTACAAAACAAATCTTTAAAAATCAGCCAGGTGTGGTGGCACATGCTTGTAGTCCCAGCTACTCAGGAGGCTGAGGTTGGGAGGACAGCTTTAGCCCAAGAGTTCAAGGAGTGCCATGATGGCACCACTGTACTCCAGCCTGAATGACAGGGTAAGATCCTGTCTCAAAAATAGGTAAATAAAATAAATAATAAAAATTAAAAGATTTTCAAAACAAACCCACAAAAAAATCAAACAAAAACATGTAGTAGTGGAAATCAAAGGAGATCGACCATAAGCATAACTGGTGTCTGAAAGAGGGAACCAAGCAAATGAAACAGAAAAAGATGCAAAAATAGAGAGAACTGGACTGAGAGCAAGTTGGCAAAAAGATACAGCTTCCAGCTTCTTCAAACCACAATAGCCAGGGTGGCAAGGATAACCTGATGATCTCAAAAGACAATAAAAAAGGGATGGGCATGCTGAGATCCCAGTTATTCACCATGCCAGTCATAGACTTATTTTGCCTCTTGACTCCAAATTCATCCTTTTTGACTCTCCTGCAAAGTTGATCTGGGCCCTTGAAATATTTTTCTTTTGCCAGCTGAAGTCAAGTATTGTCAGTAGAGGGTGCTAGTGAAACACTGCGGAAAGAAAATGGGTTGGCTAACAGCTCCTAGTGTCCTCTGCTCAATAGGCCCCAGCAGCATCCATGGCTTTCCAGGGTCCCACAGTCAGCAACCTTCCCCAGAACCCCTCTTGGGCCGTTTTGTAGTAGAGTGCGTCTGCTGAGACACCTACATGTAAACAGTTTTCCTTAGCACCCTAGAGGGCAGATTTCTGGCAAGTTCTGCCATGCAGCATCAATCACTTCCCTGCCATCCAGTGAGCCACTATACCAAGTCTAGATCTCAGCCTGGGATGGGGTGGAGGTGGCAGTATGGTGTTAAGAGGAGAAGGATGGTTCCTTGTCCAGTGCTCCATCTCAGCCCTGGAGTGGTGGCTGTTCCTTATATCTGCTATTTCTATCTTTAGCGCTCTCTCAACTTCTTTTTCACAGCTTCATTGAGCTATCCTTCACATACCATACAATTCACCCAAAGTGTGCAATTCAGTGGCTTTTAGTATATTCAGAGTTCACAAAGTTGTATGAACATCACAATTTTATAACTTTCTCATTACCCTAAAAGAGGTACACCCTGTACATCTTAGCTGTCATCACCTACTACCCACAATCTCCTATTCTCCCAACCCTAAACTACTTTCTTTCTCTATGGATTTGCCTATTTTGGATATTTCAAAATGAAATCATATGGTCCTTTTTGACTGGCTTCCTTCAATTAGCATAATGTTTTTTTTTTTTTTCAGATAGGCACGGAACCAATGCATAGCATAAGGGTTTCAAGGTTCAAGCATATTGTAGTGTGTATCAGTATTTTTTTTCTTTTTTTTTTTTTTTTAAGAGACAGGGTCTTGCTCTGTCACACAGGCTAGAATGCCTTGGTGCTATCATGGCTCACTGCAGCCTCCAGCTACTGGGCTCAAGTGATCCTCCCACCTCTGCCTCCCAAGTAGCTGAAACTACAGGGATACACTACCACAGAGGTCTTACTATGGTTCCCAGGCTGATCTTGAACTCCTGGCCTCAAGCGATCCTACTGCTTCAGCCTCCCAAAGTGCTAAGATTACAGGCATCAGCCACTGTGCCTGGCCCAGTATTTCATTGCTTTTTATTGCTGAATACTATTTCATCCTAGGAATATACCATATTTTATTTATCTGTTCATCAGCTGGCAAGACATTTGGGTTGTTTCTACTGTTTGGCCTAATACGAACATTCACGTACTCTTGGGCATATACCTAAGAGTGGAAGTGGGTATGTAAATAGAGCTGTGGTTTGAATGTGTCCCCCAAAAAAGCATGTGTTGGAAACTTAATCCCCAGTACGACAGTGCTGGGAGATGCAGCCTAATGAGAGGTTTCTAGGTCATGAGGGCTCCACCCTCATGAACAGATTAATGCCAATTACAAAAGGGCTTGAAGCTATGAGTTCAATCTCTTTCTCTCCCTCACTCTCTTGGACTCTCTTGTCCTTCCAGGTCCTGCCATGGGATGATGCAGCAAGGAGGCACTCACCAGATGCCAGCCCCTTAATCTTGGACTACCCAGCCTCCAAAACTGTAAGAAACAAATCTCTGTTTTTTATAAATTACCCAGTCTCAGCTATTGTTATAGTAACACAAAATGGACTAGGACACCTAAAATGAAATCTACCTGGGTCATATGGTAATTCTATGTTTAACTGTTTGAGGAAATGACTGTGTGTTTCCCAAAGTGGCTAACATTTTACATTCCCACCACCAGTGAATGAGCATTCCAATTTCTCCACATTGCGAGCTTTAACACTTGTTCTTTTTTTCTTTAAGAGACAGGGTCTCACTCTGTGGCCCAGGCCCAGGTCTCACTCTGTGGCATGACCTCAGCTCACTGCAGCTGCAATCTCCTGGGTTCCAGTGATCTTCCTGCCTCAGCTTCTTGAGTAACTGGGACTACATGCCCAGCTAATTATTCTACTTTTTTTTTTTTTTTTTTTTTTTTTTTTGTAAAGACGAGGTTTCACTGTGTTGCACAGGATGGTCTTGAACTCCTGGGCTCAAGTAATTCTCCCACCTCAAATCTCAAAGTGGTGAGATTACAAGTGTGAACCACTGCTTTTTTTTTTTTTTTTTTTTTTTTTTTTTTTTGAGACAGAGTCTTGCTCTGTCGCCCAGGCTGAAGTGCAGTGGTGTGATCTCGGCTCACTGCAACCTCCACCTCTCAGTCTCAAGTGATTTTCCTTCCTCACCCTCCAGAGTAGCTGGGATTACAGGTGTACGCCACCACACCTGGCTAATTTTGTATTTTCAGTAGAGACTGAAACATGGGGTTTCGCCATGTTGGCCAGGCTGGTCTCGAACTCCTAACCTCAAGCAATAGGCTAACCTCAGCCTCCCAGGCCATCGGGTATTCTTATCTGCCCTTTTGATTCCAGCCACCGTAGAGTGTGGGGTAGCAACTCATGGTAATTTTGATCTGCACTCCCCTGAAGGCTGATTATGTTAACCATCTTTCTATGTGCTTATTTCTTTACTTCTTATTAGTCAATCTTGAATTACTCCAATTCTCTGTAATAGTTAAGTAATTCTTACATTAAACCTTATGTATTCAAATTACCATGTGATTTCTCTCTTTTAATTGGATCCAGACTCCTGCAACATGAGTGGTCAGTGATTTCTGAGTGGAAATCAGATAATCTACAATAGTTTTAAAAATAGAGAACAGAAGAGTAAAGCTGAAAACTCCTTTGTCACTGGCCAGGTACTCACTTTAGAAGTAGGTAAGAGGCCTGGTGCAGTGGCTCACACCTATAATCCCAACACTTTGGGAGGCCAAGGCAGGCGCATAACCTGATGTCAGGGGTTTGAGACCAGCCTGGCCAAGATGGTGAAACCTTGTCTCTACTAAAAATACAAAAATTAGCCAGGCATGTTAGCAGGCCCCTATAATCCTAGCTATTTGGGAGACTGAGGCAGGAGAATCATGTGAACCTGGGAAGTGAAGGTTGCAGTGAGCCAAGATCACCCCACTGCACTCTAGCCTGGGTATTCGAGGCAGTGACTGCAGCGAGTCAAGACTGCACCACTGCACTCCAGGCTGGGCGACAAAGTGAGATTCCATTTAAAAAAAAAAAAAAAAAAAAAAAGGGCCAGACTCAGTGGCTTATGCCTGTAATCCCAGCACTTTGGGAGGCCAAGGCAGGCAGATCAAAAAGTCAGGAGTTCCAGACCAGCCTGACCAACATGGTGAAACCCTGTCCCTACTAAAAATACAAAAAAAATTTAGCCAGGTAGAGTGGCAAGCACCTGTAATCCCAGCTACTCAGGAGGCTGAGGCAGGAGAATCGTTTGAACCTGGGAGGCGGAGGTTGCAATGAGCCGAGATCACACCACTGCACTCTAGCCTGGGCAACAGAGCGAGACTCCATCTCAAAAAAAAAGATGTAGCAAAAGCATAAAAACATGTATGGTAACTTTAAAATCCTTTAACTCAAATAGTGGCTTTTTTCTGTTAAAGGAGGAAGAAGGGAAAAACACATTAGGAAGCCTTTCAGTAAAAATGTTATATTCTCTTTCTTTAAAAAATCAAAAAAACTCAAGTAAGATGGCATATTAAGATTTAATGATAGCTATAATTATCTGTTCTGTTCTTATATGTGTAAAACACATCATTAGAAAATATAGGCCAGGCATGTTGGCTCATGCCTGTAATCCCAACACTTTGGGAGGCCAAGGTGGGCGTATCACTTGAGTTCAGGAGTTTGAGACCAAGCTGGGCAACATGGCAAAATCCCATCTCTACAAAAAATACAAAAGAAAAAAAAATTAGCAGGGCATGGTGCTGTGTGCCTATAATCCCAGCTACTCAGGAGGCTGAGGTGGGAGGATCATTTGAGCTCAGGAGGTCAAGGCTGCAGTAGCCATAATTGCACCACTGCACTCCAGCCTAAGCACCAGAGCAAGGCCTCATCTCAAAAAAAAAAAAAAAGAAAATATAAATGTCCCTTTTCCTTGTGATTATTTCTCTGAGACTTTACATGTTTTAGGCCTATGCAGTAGTTCCATATTGTTTATCTGCTGATATTTTTTTTAAGAAAGGAAAGACATATTTTAAAAAAACTATGCTGGACTATTGCAAAGTAACTGCTGGAAGTATGCTAGCAGCTATGCCATCTTATCAGTCCCAGCAAAAGCCATTATTACACACCTGAGTAAAGCAGTGGACACAGAGGGAGTGATGCCTGCCCTCAAGGAGCAAGGTGATATGTGCAGTTATGGTATAAACAAGGAACAGATGTTATGAGATTATGGCAATTAATAACTGTCTGGGAGGCTCAGGTAAAGCTTCAAAGGCATTGCCTGAATTAAACTGACTCTGGGAAGCTGAAGCAGAAGGGCAGGAGCGGCATTATAAGCCATGCTAAGGAGTGATATTTATCCCACTGGCAATGGGGAACCACGTACGTAGAGAAATGACATAAATCTATGTTTGAGAAAGACTGCTTGTGTAGCAATATGGAGGACAAACTGGAGAAGGCTAAGCACAGAGCAAGAAGAGGCATTATAACAGTCCAGGCCATTAGCCCTCAAAGAAGGGATGTACCCCTCAAAGGGCACTCAAAGTGATTCAGCAGGGTATTGGAAGAAAAATACCATGACTCCTATTTATAAACTTCTCTGGTATTTAATTTCATGGACACGGGCCTCCTCGTGCAGTCCCTAAGTCAGATGCCTGTGGCACATGAGGTTCAGGAAGACTCCTCAGGAAGTGTGAGAATTCCACAGAGTGGAACATGTGGTGCCGCTACTCGCTCATTCACGTTCTAATGTAGTACGGTTCATGCAGTGCAGATGACATCAATGTGGTTAGTTTCATAAAAATTGGATCTTAAAAAGATTTTTTTGTGGAACACTTCATGAATTTGTGTGTCATCCTAATCTTCTCTGTATCGTTCCAATTTTAGTGTATGTGCTGCCAAAGCAAGCCTGTAATAGGATCTTTTAAATAGGATCATAACTAAACTTGACAATGAGACAGCAAGAAACTCTGAAACCTGCACCACGAAGAAGTTCTCCAGTTGTCATCTGGCCAAGTACTTACAAGATTTCTAGAACTTAAAGAGCAGTAATATATTTTTCTTCTACAAAAATGCTGTTGTTCTCAGTTTGCTGACCTTTCCTGGGATGGCAAATGTCAGCAGTATGGCACCTAGAAGATACTCCAAAAATACACACAACTGCCCTTCCAAGATAAACATCTATTTTGGTTAGTGCAAAAGTAACTGTGGTTTTTGCCACTGATATTATCAAAGGCTAGAAACTCGCTGTTTTTTAAAGGAAACTATGTTGAGTACATTTTGAAAATAAACATTTTTAATGTTTCCATCCTTACATTGTTACCAAAAGGATATAAAAGTCACATGAAACTCTTATCTACATACCAGCAGTTTTCAAAGCGTAGTCCAAGAAGCCTCAAGGTTCCCTAAGACTCTTTCAGGGGGTCCACAAGTTTAGAAGTATTTTCACAATAATTCTTTTTTTGTTGACCCTCTGAAAGAGACGGAGTTTCGCTCCTGTTACCCAGGCTGGAGTGCAATGGCGCGATCTCGGCTCACCGCAACCTCCGCCTCCTGGGTTCAGGCAATTCTCCTGCCTCAGCCTCCTGAGTAGCTGGGATTACAGGCATGTGTCACCATGCCCAGCTAATTTTTTGTATTTTTAGTAGAGACGGGGTTTCACCATGTTGACCAGGATGGTCTCGATCTCTTGACCTCGTGATCCACCCGCCTCGGCCTCCCAAAGTGCTGGGATTACAGGCTTGAGCCACCGCGCCCGGCCACAATAATTCTAAGGCATTATTTGCCTTGTTCACTCTTGTTCTCTTGTGAGAGTCCAGCATTTTTCTAAAGGCTACATAACATGATGAGGTGACCACGATAGTTCTCACAGATAATAGTATGCATGCTTGTGGGTCCTTGTGATTTTCAAGATACGATCTCACTGTCACCCATGCTGAAGTGCAGTGGCATGATCACAGCTTAGTGCAGCCTCAACCTCCTAGGCTCATGCAATCCTGCTGTCAGTCTCCCTAGTAGCTGGGACTACAGGGATGTGCCACTATGCTTGGCTAATTTTTTGATTTTTTGAAGAGATGTAGTCTCATTATGTTGCCAGGCTGAACTTTTTCTTTTTTGAGACAAGGTCTCACTTTGTCCCCCAGGCTGGAGTGTAGTGGCATGATCTTGGCTCACTGCAACTTCTGCCTCCCAGGCCAGGCAATCATCCTCCCACCTCAGTCTCCCAAGTAGCTGGTACCAGAGGCATATGCTACCATGCCTGGCTAATTTTTTTGTATTTTTGGTAGAGATGGGGTTTCACTATGTTGCCCAGGTTGGTCTCAAACTCCTGAGTTCAAGTGATCCACCCACCTCAGCCTCCTGAAGTGCTGAGATTACAGGTGTGAGCCACCATGCCCAGCCATGAACATATTTTATTTTTTTGTACTCAAGTGATTTTTTTTTTTTTTGAGACAGCGTCTTGCTCTGTCGCCAGACACCAGGCTGGAGTGCAGTGGCACAATCTCGGCTCACTGCAGTCTCCGCCTCCTGGGTCCAATTCCTGCCTCAGCCTCCTGAGCAGCTGGACTACAGGCGCATGCCACCACATCCAGCTAATTTTTGCATTTTTTAGTAGAGACGGGGTTTCACCATGTTGCCCATGATGGTCTTGATCTCTTGACCTAATGGTCCACCCACCTCGGCCTCCCAGAGTGCTGGGATTACAGGCATGAGCCACCGTGCCTGGCCAGTGATTTTTAAAATATTAAATATCGACAAATAATACTTACAAAGATGAAAGTTATTTGAATACTCAATAATGTTTAAACTTTAAGGGAATCCTGAGACCAAAAAGTCTGAGAACCTCTGCTATATACTTTAAATCCTCAGAAACAGAATTTCCTGACTTTTTTAACATATTCCAAACAAAAAGTTTCAGTGAATTTTAAAGTTATGTAAAAAATACATAAACATGCCACCTTTCAATTACTTTGTAAGAAAAACTGACATCAAGGAAGAAGAAATTTATGGTATATAGACAAATAATGAGCCAAGGCAGTCGATGACATTTAATCAGAGTAACAAATTATGTGCTCCAGGAGTTCATAGAGGAACTCATGTCAAGCCATGATGACCAGATAAAGAACCTAATGCAGAATAAATAGGAATTGAACTTCAAATATCATCTTTTAAAAAATCATCAGAAGAGGCCAGGTGCGGTGGCTCACGCCTGTAATCCCAGCACTTTGGGAGGTGAAAGCAGGTAGATCACCTGAGGTCAGGAGTTTGAGACCAGCCTGACCAATGTGGTGAAACCCCGTCTTTATTAAAAAAAAAAAAAAAAAAAAAAAAAAAAAAAAAAAAAAACATCAGAAGATGACTGAGGAGGACCAAAATTTCCGGGGAAAAAATTCAAGGACAGGCCAAGGAGAAGTGTGTGTGTCTCAGCAATTCCATGCAGTGATTATATTATGGTCACATCAGTGGCAAGCAAATGAGTGCACATACTTGTGACGGTCTAAGCAACGGTTGGAAATAGCTAAATGCCATATAAACTGTTGGCATTTAAACAATGTTTAAATTTGTATGTTTTTTGTTTTGTTTTGTTTGAGACGGAGTTTCACTCGTCGCCCAGGTTGGAGAGCAATGGTGCGATCTCAGCCAAATGCAACCTCCGCCTCCCAGGTTCAAGCAATTCTCCTGCCTCAGCCTCCCAAGTAGCTGGGATTACAGGCTCCCGCCACCACGCCTGGCTAATTTTTGTATTTTTAATAGAGATGGGATTTCACCATGTTGGCCAGGCTGGTCTCAAATTCCTGACCTTAGGTGATCCTCCCGCCTTGGCCTCCCAAAGTGCTAGTATTACAGGTGTGAGTCACCATGCCTGGCCTGTATGGTATTCTTATCAACTCTCTCTTCTTGATCTCAGAGTAATTCCCTTACGCCAGCCCAGCATCATCAATCACTTAAAATGCATATCCTTGTTAGTATAAAGGTGAGAAAAAGAATAAAATAAATGCATAAATTAAAACCACGACGTGGCCAGATGTGGTGGCTCACACATGTAATCCCAGCACTTTGGGAGGCAGAGGCAGGCAGACTGCTTAAGCCCAAGAGCTCGAGACCCAGCGCAGGCAATACGGTGAAATTTCACCTCTACAAAAAATAAGCTGGGCATCATGGTGTGTGCCTGCAGTACCAGCTGCCCGGGAGGCTGAGGTGGGAGGATCACCTGAGCCTGGAAGGTTGAGTCGTGATCATATCATGCCAATGCACTCCAGCCTGGGTGACAGAGTGAGACAGTATCTCAAAAAAACAAAAAACAGGCCGGGCGCGGTGGCTCAAGCCTGTAATCCCAGCACTTTGGGAGGCCGAGGCGGGTGGATCACGAGGTTAAGAGATCGAGACCATCCTGGTCAACATGGTGAAACCCTGTCTCTACTAAAAATACAAAACATTAGCTGGGCATGGTGGCATGTGCCTGTAATCCCAGCTACTCAGGAGGCTGAGGCAGGAGAATTGCCTGAACCCAGGAGGCGGAGGTTGCGGTGAGCCGAGATCGCGCCATTGCACTCCAGCCTGGGTAACATGAGTGAAGCTCTGTCTCAAAAAAAAAAAAACAAAAAACAAAAAACAAAAATCGCACAATGTTGGCATCTTTAAGGCTAATGATCACCTACCATGAACCAAGTAATACACTAAACATTAGAAATATTACAACTAGCCGGGCGCGGTGGCTCAAGCCTGTAATCCCAGCACTTTGGGAGGCCGAGGCGGGTGGATCACGAGGTCAAGAGATCGAGACCATCCTGGTCAACATGGTGAAACCCTGTCTCTACTAAAGCTACAAAAAATTAGCTGGGCATGGTGGTGTGTGCCTGTAATCCCAGCTACTCAGGAGGCTGAGGCAGGAGAATTGCTTGAACCCAGGAAGCGGAGGTTGCGGTGAGAAAAAAAAAAAAAAAAAGAAATATTACAACTATAGCTTGCAACTGAGAAGTATGAATAATAAATAATAAGAAAAAAAAGAAATATTACAACTATTATTATTACTAAACTATTATTTTTATATATCTACTAATAGCACAAGACCAGGCTTTTTACAACTACTCCCTCCAATCTTCAGCGCAACCTTGCAAGGTAGGAATTTTTAACCTCATATTCCAAATTTGAAAACCAAGAAGACAGGAGATTCTGAAGCCTATCCAAGGTGATACAATAGAAACAGGTGAGGCTATGACTGAAATCCTAGTCTACGCTCATCTAGGCCTAGGAAGCACAAGGCATGCCCCTCATATGTTGCAGCAGTAACTATCCTCTGTCCAGTCTCACCTCCTCATTCCAACCTCTCGCCTTGCATAAATATTTTATGACTCTTGTGTGGTAGGCATGGTACTATGGCTACAAACCTCAGAACTCCCCATGTCGGGGAAATAGGATATCGACTACTCTGCCTCTTCCACACAGTGATGTTCCTGAAAGGCGAAGCTGATAAAGTCACTTTCTATCTTTAAATCCTCTAGTGGCACCTAATCACATTCAAGATAAAGCTCTAACTCCAGAACTCACAAAAACCTTCACAATCTATTCTTGACCGGTTTCTTCAGCCTCATTTCCTATGCACTCCGCAAAAAGACTGTACTCCTGCCATACCAGTGTCTTCAGGATGTAACCATATTCTTTGCTTCTAGGCCACAGCACACATTGTTGCCTGTGTGAAAAGCCTTTTAAACCCACATCCACCCAGCTAATAACTACTGATTCTTCAAGATGTAGGTCAGATGCGAACTTCCCCCAAAAAACCACTACTCATATTCCCTCCGGTATCAGGTGCCCTTTTAGAAGATGCTACAAGACCCCCAATTACACCCCTTATTATAATGTATTCTAACTGCTGTTTACTTGCTTGAGGCCAGGGACATGTCCTTCATACCTATGAAGCCACCACCTAGCACAGAGCCTGGCAGAGCTCATGTTCAGTACCATTTGTGGAATGATGAGAACACCTGATCTAGGAGAGGCAGAAATGTATACAATCATACAAAATATGAAAAATGTGAAATAAGATATAGTAGGGATGCTGTCCAAGGGAGAAAAAAGGCGGGAAAATCCAGGGGAATCCTTCTACCTCTATGTATCTCTGAGGGCTCCTTACCTGATTTCTCAAAAGTTTCTTCTAACCTTGATGCAGCTGGTTAGAAGCACTCTGATCATGAGTGCTTACTTTGAGCCATGTGCTCTGTAAAGCACATTAGATGAACTGACTTAATTCCCACAACTGCCCCATGCATTTCACTGATGAGGAAACTTAGGCTTAAAAATAAGATTCTTTCTTAATGTCAGACAACTATTAATAGTGTAAGAGCCAAGATCTGAACCCAAATCTGTCTCCTGAACGAGGGCTCCAACCAGCACTGCTTCTATTGCCTGTCAAAAGTAAAACCTCCTCCCCAAATACCAAGTTTGCTATGTTCAATTAAACCAATATGGTTAAACTAAGATTATGATGTTTCTAAGGCAGAGTCTTGCTCTGTCTCCCAGGCTGGAGTGCAGTGGTGCGATCTCAGCTCCCTGCAACCTCTGCCTCCCAGATTCAAGCAATGCTCTTGTCTCAGCCTCCCAAGTAGCTGGGACTACATGCGCACGCCACCACGCCGGGCTAATTTTTTGTTAATTTTTTAGTAGAGATGGGGTTTCACCACGTTGCCCAGGCTGGTTGTGAACTCCTGAGCACAGGCAATCTGCCCGCCTCAGCCGCCAAAGTGCTGGAATTACAGGCATGAGCCACCAAGTCCAGCCGATTATTTTTTAATTTTAACCATTTGAGTGAAAATGCACCTAAAATTATTACACACTTCCCGATTTCTTATAAATTGAATATGCTGAATATAATTTAACTTTTATTTTTTTGCTGTCTCAGAACCATTACTGTGTTTGTTACTAAGAATGCTGTAACATGCTAAGTTTTATAAAAGTCACTCCTCAGGAATGACTGTGTTATTACTGGGATGTAATAGATTGCCCTTGTATCAATAGCCTTGGCCTGTGAGCATTTACAAGTGCTTGTAAGAGTTTTGACTCCGAATCCACCATTACCCCCTGCCTAGTTAGAGCTATTATTCCTTGCTACTGTTGATATGTTTGTCTCTAGCAGCCCATCTGATGTGCTACCTCTAATCTTCAATGGGCTGTGACACCATAGATGAGGTAGTAGTCATTAGTGCTATTCACCAAATACTTCTGGCTCTTTGCTTCCCAGGCATATGCTAACACTGAAATTCTCTAACCTTCTTTAAAGTTAGGCATGGCTATGTGGCTTGCTTTGGCCAATGAAAATGTGAATGAAAGTGACATGTGCCATAGTGGGAGAGAAACTTGAAAAGCCAGTGTCCACCTGACCACTGTCTTTTCATTTAATCAAAATGGTCATGGCAGTACCATGTTAAGATGGAGTTTCTATCAGCCTCAGTTCCTGAGTGACTGTGAAGAGTTTCCTCTACACTCACGCTGGACACATCACACAAATGAGAAGTCAAGTTTTGTTTTGGTAAGCCACTGAGGTCTTGAGGTTTTGGTTAATGCAGCCTAATCCAAGCTATCCATACCAATACAACAGATCTCTCAGTAAGGGATTCTCTCACATAAACAACTTTATTTATAGATTTTAATGACAAACATTTTGTTTGCATAAAGAATTCTCTGCATCCATTCTGATTCAAAGCTATTTTCAATATAAAATATATTTGCCAAGTACCTACTATGTACAAAGTTGGATGATGAAGAGGACAGTCTATGTCTTGAAATAGCTTCAATCTTATATTGTGGGTAGAAGCAGGATTTAAGGCAATTATTGCAAAAAGGCATACTCTAATGTTATAGTGGTTTAAACTTTAAACTTAAAGAAGAGAGACATCTCATTTAGATGGAGAGAAAAGTACAGACAAGCATCACAAAGGAACTTCTATATCAAATGGCCCTGAAACTTACATTAAGAATAAGTAGAGTCAAGGAGGTTATTTAAGATAGAAAAAGCCAACATGAACAAAGATATGGAGCACAAACTGCAAAGCACAAACAGCAAATAGTTCCATTAACCTAGAAAATAAAAGAGAATGGCAAGAAATTGGTTTGTTTTGTCCATTGCCTATGCCAGGCTGGTCTGTGCCTAACCAACAGACAACGGAGAGCCATTCAATGACCTGGCTGGAGAAGTGACAAACTTGGAAGTGAAGGCAGTATACATGATAGTTGGGAGGAAGGAAAAAAATGTTAGGGGGTTTCTGTGGTAATTCACAAGAATGGTCCAATAGCCCCAAATCAGTGTGATGACAGTAGGAGTGAAAAGAGGCAGATGCCAAGCCACGTGGCTCACACCTGTAATCCAAGCACTTCGGGTCAAGGTGGGCAGATCACTTGAAATCAGGAGTTCAAGATCAGCCTGGCCAACATGGTGAAACCCTGTCTCTACTAAAAATACAAAAATGAGCTGGGTGTTTTGGCACGCTCCTGCAGTCCCAGCTATTTGGGAGGCTGAGGCAGGAGAACCACTTCAACCCGGGAGGTGGAGGTTGCAATGAGCTGAGATGGGGCCACTGAGCTCCAGCCTGGGCAACAGAGAGAGGCTCTATCTCAAAAAAAAAGAAGCAGATGCCAGAAACAGTGTGGAAGTAGGGTCAACAAGACCTGGCACCCAACCAAAAACACAGGTGAGAAAAAAAAGTAAGAACAAACTTGAGGTGCAGCTTCTGGGTTGAGAGACCTGTTATTCCAAGTTGCTGAGGTGAATCAGAAGAGTGACAATGGGCTAGGTGTGGTGGCTCATGTCTATATTCCCAGTATTTTGGGAAGCTGAGGTGAGAGGACTTGAGCCCAGGAGTTTGAGACCAGCCTGTGCAACATGGCAAGAGGCTTCCCAATGAAATCTTCCTCAAACACATGGATTTCTCCTTTTCCTGGTTTCTCATAGTACCTACTGTCTTAGAATTCTACAGACCATATCATAGTTATTATTGTCATGTGTGTGCTTTATTTCCTCAGCTATATTATAGACCCATTAGAACAAGTTTCTTATCTTAAATGGTTTTGAGTTTCCCCTCAGTCAATGCCTTGCATAAAATATGCACTCAAGAGGCGTTCCATTGATTGATACAAAGTCTATTAGTCTCTAAGAACATGAATGTCTTGTTTCATTATTAATATTTTATTTTTATTAAGCCATGGTTAGACATTCAGACATGTGAAACGGAGAGATTCACCACTTAATATCTCAAAATATTCTTAAGAATCTCTAATCATAGGAGGAGCTGTTGTTGCCTTAAGAAATTATTTGAAAATATCATTTGGCTATAAATTTCTATGCCAGCTTCCTTTTAATCCCGTGTTGACTTTAAAGTACACCAAACATTTCAGTGATCATCTCTAGACGATAATTTTGACGTAGAAACAACCTAATTTATCATGGGGACTATCTTACTTTAAGTAACCTAGTAAGTTTTTTCCTACCTTCACGTCCAACTATCTATAATTCACAGTACTATCACTGAAAAGTTAGAGTATTTTACTTTCTGAGGTAATACCTGCCTTCACTGGTCCCTCCCACAATTAATTACATTCGGTTCTCAGATTTCATTCCTTCCTCTTAATGTAAAGGAAACAAAAACGAGGCGTACTGAGGAATCATAAAAATGGGCATTTTTGTAAAAAGGAATCCAAAATGTTCATGGGACACTCTCTTAATCAAACCTGCTCTCCTCACTGAGATATTTTCTCTTGCAAGCAAAAGCACCGAGACAACGGGGGAAAGTGCCAGAAGGAAAGGAAGCAAGAGAGGCGTACTTGGCCGATCAAACTGACCCGGGTTCTGGCCCCTGCTACAGTACTGAGTAGGCAATGACAACTGCTACCCATACGCTGCCGATTCCCGCTCAGGCGCTCCCTGGACTTTTCTTTCCTCTTCCCCCAGCAGGGCCCGAATGACCGTGTCCGTGCTCTGCGCCAAGGTGCGCAGTGCTGCGGGGTCTCGCACGGAGACAACCTCAGACCGCTTGGCCTGCGTCCGGCCAGGCTTTCCCCCAGGCTCCCCCCCAGGCTCCGCAGCCCCCTCCCAGGCGACGTCATCCAGGTACTGGGTCCCCAGCCCGAAGGACTACTGGGTCGTATCCCGACCCCTCCTTCCCGGGCACTAACGCGCGGGCTCCGCGCCCCGCCCAGCCCGGGAACCGCGGCCGGCGGGGGAGGGGCGGGGCGGCGCGGGGACCGTTATTCGCAGTCAGCCGTCGCGCCCCAAAGCGTACTGGGCAGGCCCTTACCACAGCAGAGAGGGAGACAGGGCGTAGGTGGCGCCCGGCCCGACGCGGGGCAGGAAGGCGGAGGCGGCGGCGCAGGGAGCGGCGACAGCCGCGGGGGACCCCGGCGGGCGCCCACGACGCGATGGGCTCCATGGGCGCCGCCATAGTGGGGACGCAGCGGCGGGCGGAGCGCGCGGCTGCGACCCGGTCGGGCGCCTGCGACCAATGGGCGCGCGCAAGCCGGGCGGAGCAAGGGCTTGACCAATGCGGAGCTGCGTTGCCCCGAGCGGCCCAATAGCGCAGGAGCCGCGGATTTGCCGGCCCGCCCATCCCGCCTACAGCGGGACCACTGCTGGGGGAAGTGTGGAGCGTGAGGCTCGGCGCGTATGGCTTTCCCAGGCACGTCGGGTAGTCTAGAGGAACCCTACTCCCCCGGCTTCACGACCCAGAGGGACGCACAGTCCCCTGGAGGGCCTGTTTCGTTGCCCGCGCGGGGGAAGGGAAAGTGCTAGGGTGGTCACGGCCACTTCACGCCGAGGGACGCCTTATTTTCGCCCTCCAGGTCATGAGCGCAGCCAGTCCGCTCACTGAGGTCGAGAGCTTCGGACCTCCGGGGACCCTGGTGGGTAAGGGGCACGAAGGTGAGCGTTAACTTCAGAGACTAACAGAACATTTTTAGTCCGGGCACGGCACAGGGCCTCCAAGCCCCACATACACTTTGCACCCTTCCCACCCCACTTTTTCATTCCTGCGGCAGAGCCCTGGCTTTATCCCCATGGAGCAGAATTTCAAACTTAATTCCTCAACAAAGTCTGGGTGGAGGTCTCTAAACTACAACCTTGGATCCAAAAGCCCTATCTTACTAAGGGAAGAAAGTTTGCCCTAACAAAAAGGCTTCTGGGAAGAGCTGCCTAAGGCAGGAAGGGGCTGGCAGGCCGGGAAGTACGGCCTTTGACTGGGGCCAGTTCTCTAAGATCGGCCTGACTGCATATGCAGCCAGTAAGGGAGATAACAGGCCGGTCTGCATGATTTGGATCAACTGAATTTCAGCTTCCTAAGAGTTATTAATAAAAAGTGCAGTTACTGGAAAACTGGTCAGCTGTTAAATAAGAACTCTGCTGAGATTAAACCCGGCACCAACCCTTGGAAGCAGTGAGGTCAAGAGGCAGGGACCCTTTGTAAAAAGGCCAGTGAAGTGTTCCTCTTCCAAAGGCGTATGGATTAGTGGATTGTGCTCTCTCACCAATCCTCTTAAGGCCTGGTTCTGCCCACCCTCCCCTGCTACATCCCCTGGGAATCCCAGTGAAGTGTGGGCAAAAAAAAAAAAAAAAAAGTCAGCTTCCCTCTCTGGGCCCCAGGAGGGAGCTGACATAGAAAAGCATCACCTCCTGGACCTCCCTTTCTCTACAATGAGATTCCAAGTAGCAACCACCTCACAACCCCCGGGGACATAAGCATCCAGAATAGCTGAGCTGACCCAAGCCTCTCCTGCACCTGGACAGGGCCATGCCACAGGAAGTGCCTGGCTGTCCAAGAGCCAGCTGGAGCAGTTTCAGGGAACCCAGGTCCTGCACCTCTTCATTGCCCCTCCCTGCTCTATGGCTCCCATCTTTGTACACTTTGAACTCAGGGACCCACCAGGCAAAGGGGACTGGGTCTTCTTCCAGGGAAGTTTCTCACCAACTAGACAGCTTGGAGAGCAATCTTAGGATCCCACTGGAGGTTGAGTCCCTTGCTTCTCAAGCAGCTAAATAAAATGCACCCCACCCTTCACACTGGTCCCACAATTTGTATAGAACACAGATGCTGGCGTGAACTTAGGCCAGCTCAATGAAGATACCTCAAATGGGGCAGCGGTGAGCTACTCTGTTTAGAAAACTCATTGGTCTGGTGCTTTCTGTTACCTCATCCTGCCCAACTCTAAGGCAGAGGAAGCACAACAAAGAGGTACTCAGAGCCAGAAGTGCCCCTGTTCCCCATGACCCACCATACTTGGCCTAATACAGAGCTTGACAAGGAAAGGACCCACTCTGGAACTTAATAGAGACTGCCTTACTGATGTGTCTTATAATTCACAGCCCTGCTCCAAAACCCAAGTCTGGAGATACCCCCACCTGGGCTCCTTGGGGCAGCCAGCCAATCCTCTGCTCAACACATTTTATTGCTAAGAACAAGGTGATGCACCAGTTTTCAAAATAATTTGGTTTATAGTGTTCATACGTAACAAAAAAGGGGAAGTATTATAAATCTTGATTCTTGTATACACAGGGTATTGGTGTGAAGCCCTCCAATCCTGGGCCCAGGCAAACAAATGCATGAAGAGCAAAAACCTGTTTAACCCCTTCAGTATTGCCCTCTTGTCCCACCCCCACCCCAAAATCAGCTCCCTCCCACCCACAGTGGGCCTCCAATGGCCCCACATTTTCATCCTAACCCTCCCAGCCCCTGCATGATTGCAATTTTCTGTTGACAGAATCACCCACCAGGCTCTGCCTGCTTCCATCATTAAAATCCCCACTTCAGGGTAATCCCACTCACACCCTCTAATACTGTGCCACAGGGGCTCTGCACCTAGAGTGTTGTGGGCACACACCCTTATTATCCCCATGTTCTCCTTCAGGGGAAGACAAAGAGGTGGCATCAACTCCTTAGCATCTCAATACTGCAGCTTTGCCAGCACTGTCTTGAGGCTGTTCGAGGCCTGGACAGATGCCACACCCATCTCCAGCCAACCCCCAGGAGCCCTTACTCAGCTCAGCTGAGGGCAGAATTTCACATTTTGTTTGCCCTGCATAGGCAAGGAAGAAAGTAAAAGGCCAGGGGCTGGCAGAAGCTGGTCCAGACCAAACATACATACATACATACATACATACACACACACACACACACACATACACACACACACACACACACACACACACACACACACA